GACTATCATCATCTTGCAAATTAATTGTGCCCATTGGTCTGCCTTTCTTGGGTAGAAGTAAGCAGTATTGCCTTTTGGTTTAATAATGGTTTTATGGCCTTCTTTGTTGTCTGATGCCCCTGTAATTTTTCACATGTTCTCAAATTGAGTTAAGAACCATCTCTAGATAACAGCATATGTAATGCAATCTATTATGAGTTTTGTGTTCTTGATAAAAGCTGCACTTAGTTAACAATGGTTCTTTATTCTAGAATAGTTTGATTTTGACATGTTTATTTATGACAGCTAGTGTTACACATCCAAAGTATCTCAGCAGTAAAAAGGTGGGTAGCAGTTGTGGTAGACTCGGTCAGCAAATAGGTGAAATCATTATCCCATTTTCAGCAAGCAGTTGAAGCCATTATCCTATTTCCTAGTTTCATGATCTTGTTCCATTATCCTCATTGCTTAAACGTAGGAATTAGCTGTTGTATTTTTATGGTATTTAAACTCTTCTTAAGCAGCAATGAAGGAGGCAATTATTGAATCCAAAATCTTGTGGTTTATTCTCATCTGAAGAGAATTTCTTTACTAATTTCCTTTGGCTTCTGGGGACCTATCAGCTAGCTAGCTTGGTTTTATATTTGCAGTTTCCTCATTTAAAGCTATAACTGTAATATGGTCTTCCTCCTTTCCCATTTGTGTTAAAGATTCATATTAACTAATCTTTTATTTTTTTCTTCCTTTGGTTTGCAAGGTAAAGTATCATCATTCCTTTGCATCAAGGTTGATAAGCCTTACTACTCGAGTGCAGGTTATGTTGATGCTCTGCACTCAAATGTCATTCCTTTCCGAATGGAGCCACTTGGACCTGCTGCCGATTTTGGTGATGTTTCAGGTGCTATTGATGTTTAATGGTGTCGTACAACTGTTGGGAGAGCAAGCTAGGCAAACAAAGTGACTATTCTGGACATTACAATCCCGGCTCCTTCTTTGACTGGTAATAAGATTTGTCTGCTATTATGTGAATGCATTCTAAATCCAAGCCATAGAAGTTACAACTATAAATCTAATGAATAACTTGAGATTTTGATATCCAGGGAAACAAGGAGTGAACTCCCTTCTTGGGAACTTGCATCCTTTGACACCAGAAATGGCTGAGAATGTGGAAGACTCACAGGCACTGGAATCGATGACCATTCATGGAGCCCTTGCATCAGGTAAAATTAATTTGTGTATCCTAGTTTTCTATATTCTTCTATAGCATGTACTGGTCAGATAAATGCATTAGACTGTGTTGCCAGACTTGGCTTCAGAATTTGGTACTATATTTTAAAGGAGAAAGCACTCGGGCTTCTTCTCTTTGTCCGAAGTTGGACTTTGTTATTAGAGAACTTTATTTAGTTGAATCACTAAACACTTGGGGAAAATTACTTGTCTACTGAGCTTTACAGAAGAGATCTTCAAAAGAATTAAAGGTGAAAAAAGAGTTAGTAGGCTTAAGATGAGAGCATGTCTTGCTATTATCTACAGTTCTCTCTCCATGTACACCAATTTGCCTTGTAGCTTTTTAGCAATTTGGGTGACAAAGATGGTGTTTATTTTTCTGCAGGAGTCCATCAAGCTTTAGTGTTGAAGTAAGGAACGCAATTCATGCTCCATATGAACATGCAATAATAAGGCCGATGATTTGCCAGTTATCTGTTGCCCGTCGTCGCCTTCCAATAACCTTGCTGTTTCCTTTAATTTTTGGGAATTTTGTGGGCCAACATGGTGAACTGTTGGACAGCCCAATTGTAGGTTCTTGTCCAAGGAGCTCACTTGATGTCAATTCAATCTCCATTGCAGCAAACTGCGTTCTAGTAGTGCTATCTTGCCATTTTTGCAGCATAGGTTAGGGAATCTTTGTTGATTTGGTATAGAAAGAGGAGCCCCTGGGGCTGAGTTGCTTAGGAGTTGGGGATTTGGAAATGACAACGTAGAGGACATGAGAGAGGCAGCGTCTAAAATGGTTGCAGCGTTGGATCCTTACTCTCAAGTGTCCTCAGATTCAGATTAGGTAAGTGCAGATGTCAAGTTGCGTCTCTCTCTTCTCTTGCCCGTACTGGAACCTGATCCCCATATTTGATTTCAGAACTTGCAGTGAGTTCTTTATTCCTAATATTTGAATCGAATTATTATTGTTGGTAGGATTATGGAAGTATGATGGAGGTGGACATTTATGAACATGACGAAAAGATGACGAGTATGGCAGATGAGGCGGTGGAGAGACATTCTACAAGTTTAACTGATAAGCTGATGCATCTTTTCTAGAACATAATTTCTCATCTTGGTGTTTGTTGGTTTACTATGCTTTGTGTAAAGGGAAAAAGTGAACCTTTCCAAGTTTCAAATGAACTCCAAAGAAGGAGATTGCACTTCACTTTGATGCATATTATCTTGAAATACCTTGACCTTGTTGGCTCCTGAATCCTAAGGAGGGTTTACTAAATTTGAAACCCCCCAAAAAAGCTGTTGAAGTATCAGGTAAAATTTAGGAGTTCCAACATGAAATTTAAGTAAAATGGTCAAAAGATTATTAATTACTCTTGTAATTAAGCACTATCTAAATGTCCTTCATTAAAAAGTACTTAAAAACAAACAAAGATTACTACCATAAAAATTTAAATATTTTGTTATTAAATTTTTTACTATTTAAAATATTTTATTAATTGTTTATATCATTAACTATTTTTGTTAAAGAAATATAATTAAATATATTAAATGATGGGCAGTGGTAAGATTGTAGTTTATAATTCTTATAAGAAATATAGTGGATTAAATAAATTGTAGTGAGTTAGTTTATATTAACATTATGGGCATGACAAAATCATATATGATGTATTTTAATGCATACTTTTATTTTCTGATGAACATATATTATAAAAACAAGTAGTAAAATCATGCAATTCAGATCTGAAAACTAGATGGCAACAAAATTTATGATGAAAGAAAGATATTCTTCAAGCACATGATGGCAACACTGTAAATTTCTCATCCAACTTTATAACAAAGAAAGTCCTAGAGGGAAACAGATTATTTATTACCAAACACTAATTTATTTATTTTTTAATGAAAATTATATATTAATTAATTAATTAAGTGACACGTATAAACTAATCATAATATTATAAAAATAACCTTCTAACGGCAATACTTTTAGTATCACAATTTGATTTAAATTTATAATTTTTTATGAAACGAAAAAAGTAATATCTGTTTAATTAAATAGTAATAGTTATTTTGAAAAAAAAAAAAGATTTTTATTCTCGTTGAACTTATTTTAGAATATTTATATTATTTTTTAATAGATATATTATCTTAATAATTAAACTGTATATTTGA